GAGTGACCATCACTCCTGACCAAGTGGTCAGTGAGGGCTTCTGAGTCTCGCAACCTGAGAATTAGACCCTAAAATCCAAACAAAAATATCTAGAATGAGGAAGGACAACAGAGGGCCACTACAATGCTGGAATAGAATGTATTTATCATCCTGAACACAGAGTGAGGAGGAGAAGGAGACATGTACAGGCTGTGGCATGCATTTTGGAAGGATCCCCTGGCCCTACAGTTTAGACCAGTCTTCCTGATGGCCTGTGATTTCTTACTGAAATGACTGCTGAAGGGTCATGTTTTTGTAGTGTATTATATAAATATGAGTCCTCAACTTTCAAAATATTGTCCTTAGTCCTCAGAGCACTTAGATGTACAGAGGTACACACAGGGTGGCTGTGTGCTGTGGATTTTCCCCATGGGAGGAAGCAGCTGTTCTAGCACTGTGCATGGTCCATTGAGCAACTGTTCATGATCCAATGAAGCTGAATCACTTGAGTTTCTACCAGTTTTTATGAATGTCCACAGTACCCCCTGGAGGCATTTTGGTCTAAAGCTGTAAAGTCTCATTTGATAAAGAACAGTTGAATTGTTTGTATAACTTTGCCACTGTATTTCCAAGATGATCTCACATTCATTACTTAAATTTTCTTTGAACATTCTTTTTTATATCTATTTATCTGTTTTTATATCTTTGTTTCTTGAAATCATTTCCAATTGTGTGCAATTCATATTTAGTGTTGCATGTTCTTCACTTTATCTGAGTTTTTTTAATGATAACATGCTTGCACTTACTTTATATAATGCTTCATTGGTTTATTATGATTGCATGTTAATAGTGAGATTAACCATACCCACATTCATACATACAAGAAACATAATTTCATCAATTTCATTCCCCAGTATTCTCCCTTTCCCTTCATTACACACTCCCCTAAATATGTTTCTATATACAACTGGTCTCATTTCTGTTTTTCATTAATTGGTGCAATGAAATTATTTTAAAAAATTTGGATTCACCAGGATATATTGGTATTTGCACATAGCATAATTTGTTTGATGTCATTCCATGGTACCTGCCCATCTCTCATTTTCTCCCTCTCCTGGGTCTACTTCCTCTATTCAACATTTCTCCCTTCAAGGATCCAGTTATTTATTTCATAAGTGGAAGTTATCTAGAAAAAAATAAGAATGGAACCTCACTCATGAGTGTTTTGAATGAGTAAAGAAGTTGTTTTCATGACCAACTTTCTGATAGAGTTATGGATTTTTAAATTCTTACTAGATACAGAGAAGGGTAAAGTGGTAATTATATTAGTAATAAATTCTACAAGGTGAAAAAGAAAAAAGAAAGAGGAAATGTTCCAAGTTAGAGAATTATTTTTTTTTCTTTTCATTTTCACTTTTTTAAAACTAGTTCAGTGGACGTAAATTCAGTTATGCAGATGGTCAACCTGGTCAACATGACCACACTACTCAAAACACACAAAGTTTGGGAAGGCTTTCCTGTTCTTTTCTGTTTAGCTTTTTGTGTGTCAGGTACTGAACCCAGAGGAATTTAATCATTAAGCTTCATTCAAGCCCCTTTTTTGGTTTTAGAGAGAGGGCCTTGCTATTGCTTAGTACCTTGCCATGTTCCTGAGGCTGGCTTTGGACTTGTGATCCTCCAACCTCAGCCTCCCAGGCTGATGGAATCACAGGTGCACACCACCACTCCCAGCTTTTAGGGTATTCCTGACTGACAGTCATGTATGCATGATAGCACACATTGTTTACAGGAGAAATATCAATGTCAGTGAAACTTCCAAGAGAGAACAATTGGCCTCTTAGAATAAGATTAGAAGAACTCCCTCCTCTTCAATTTCGTAACACTTATTTTGGGGCCTAACATACAATCTACTTTGCCAATAAATTCATGTTTAATTGAGAAGAATGTTTCTAAGCACCAGAAGCTAATGTGCATGACAATCTGAGAAGACTGATGATCAGGGTGAGCAGTTTTCTAGTTGTCTTCTTGCATCTGCCTCTCCTAAAATCAATCTTGCTGATCAACCTTATGTGGAGCAAGTAGAGCTTTATACTAATTATACTAATTAATACACCCACTGAAAACACTAATCTATTAGCATTGAGATGCATAGACTTAGAAATTTTACTTTGTTATCAGACTAGAGAGTCTTTGTCATTCTGGGTGAATACAATTGTAACTCTGTGATTTAAAATAACATGGAAAAATTCTTGCTCACACACTTTTTGCACAGCATGTGATCAATGGGGATTTTCCATGTGTTCATTCTCATTTTATTACTAACTCAATACAGGATCAATCATTGGTATAATCCTTGTGGGCATTCAGAAGGAAACATGCAGGGAAAAAGAAAGGTAGTAACTCTTCTATTTATAATGGTATTGTCCAGATGTAGCACAGGCCTCCTCTGATTCTACTTTCTCAGGCAAAGCACACCCTGAGCCAAGGAGCCCTTCAAGGAGGCAGTAAATTATGTCTACCACTCAAAATTTCCTAAAAATATGTAAACCATGACACTATATGTGTACACATCTGATGCAGAGTACTATATCCACCCAATTCCTGTACACCTTCTACGTTGCTCACCAAAGCAATGTTCATAACCATTGATGATCAGAAACATATGCAAGTTCCAAGTTAAATATTAGGATTAATGACTTCTCTGTGGTATTTTTGTTGCTCTTGTTTTGTCTTATTTTGTTTTTGAGACAAGTTGTCCCTCAGTTGTTGAAGTCTGCCTCCAACTTCTTATTCCCACTGCCTCAACCTTCTGAGTATTTGGGATTACAGACATGCACCACCACAGATGGCAAAAGAAACATTTCACTGACCAGAAATCAAACTTGGGCCATGGCAGTAAGAGAGCTAAATGTTAATCACTAGATCACTCAAAGCATCTCAGAACAAATAGACCTCTTACAGAAGGATGCTCTGGTGGTCCTCATGGGTAGTAGTCTAGTTTTTCTGGCTACCTATGTCTTTACTATTCATCTTATGTATACAGGGGTCATTGGGTAGGGGAGGGGCTAATTTGACTTTCTTTCTCCACTTAGTTGTTGTACAGAGAAGCTCGAGATGTAGCCAGTTCCATCACAGTCTGGCCACCTCATGGTGAGAGCCCCCATTTCTTTTTGAATGTTCAAACATCTGACTATTGTGCCCTAAATCTGAAAGGGACAATCTGAGCTCCCATTTATGTCTCTTAAATTCCCTTCAGTAGGTTTTAAAGTGAAGGAAACACATAAACATAGCAAACATGGTGGCACTCAGACTAACAAGATTTTTAAACATTATGTCTCTTAGCTGTAACTACCCAAATCTACTTTGTGTCCCTGAAAGTATCTAAGGGGAAGTGTTTTAGAACAAGCTCTTGTCATCTTTGCCATTATTCCTTGATGTCACAGAATGACTCCTTGGAAGATGGGGTGTTTGCCAGACACTGGTTATAACCACTGAGAATGTCAACTGATATGAGATTAAGAGGGAAACATAAAAGGCACTCACTTATTATTTAACTCACTGAACTTCAGAAACCTGATTTGGAGACTCCACAGGCAGGACAGGGACCAAAATAGCTTTTGTATCTTCTCTCAGGGATGTGCCACAGTCCTGGACACAGCTGGAAATCCACACCTTCACTGCCTGTCCCTATACTGAGGCTCTCTGATGTGTCAGCTGTTGTTACCAGGATATGGAGATACCACAATTTTCTTAGGAGTATTCTTATCATTAGATGGGATCCAGGAAATGTGCTGCAATTGCAAAGGTCCTTGCAGAGGTCCTGACAATGTAAGATACACTCTCAAATCTCTGACCTGAGTACACAGGTAGAAACTGTGCCCTTCTGCTTCCAAGTAACTCCCTGGGACTCATGCAAGGAGTTACCTTTTATCTCAGTAAGACAAGAAGAAAACACATAAACATAGAAAACATGGTGGCACTCAGACTAACATAAGCCCTGAATTAGGACAGTTGTCTCCAAAGTGAGGAGGGGAAGGGCCTCAGAAGACATGCCCATAGGCCTCATGAGGAGATGCTCAGTCCAGTGCATAGTGAAGAGACAACAAAGGAATAGGATTTCTGATTGTTTTCCTTCAATTTTTGAGGAAAGACCTTAGATTAGGAGGTCAATAATGCAATCAATACAGTGAAAGCTGGGTTGTATTGCTCTCTATATTTACAGTTATAGAATGAAATTTTAACCCACTCATGATCAGAAAAAGTGTGCATCAACACAGAAAAATCCAGGGACCACAAACGTCATGATGCGTCCCCAGCAGAATCAAGTAAAATTCAACAAAATGTGACAGGGTCTCAAAAGGAATTTATAGAATGGAAGATATCATTCAAGAAGAAATATCTGCTGTGTGTTCTAAATATAAAAGGAAACCTGACCAATATTCACTGAAAAAAAAGTGAATGGTTTCCTGGGAGGTTCTGTGAGCAGAGATGGAGGGAGGGTTCCCAAAAGGAAAAGGAAGCTTGAGTGCTAGTGGACAGATTCCTTGACCAGACTGTCCTGATGTTCCCAAAAGGGTGAAGCTATCTCAAAATCTGTCAAAATATTCACTTATGTGTGTTTTATTTTCTACCAATTATTTCATTTTAGAAAACTTAGGGAAATTAAGCTAAAACACTGATCAACAACATATACAATGGAATCTAAGGAAAAGATGACACAGTTCTAGAATGCCTGGAAATAGGGAAAATGGATGGGGGAACCACAGTATTCCCCATCAGGTGTCAAATCTGAGATGACCAGGGTTGCACTGGCTGCCTCATCACCTGAACTTCAGGTCAAAGAGCCTACAGCATCCTGTTCAACTTCTCAAGCTAAAGGAACTTCTTTTTCTATGGATACATTTTCCTAGGAACATCCTGCTGTGAATGATTCTGAGGGCAAGAATAAGAGGCCTCTCACTCAAAGGGGTGCCAGTAGATTCATCTTGGCCTATATTAGTGGTAGCAGAAAAAGCCAGAGACTATGCGTGAGCAAAGTTACAATGTGTTTGCCCTCCTGACAGATGGTAAAGGGGTTCTTGTCTTACTTCCCCATGAGCCTGGAGCACTGTGTGAGAACTGAGGCTACTGTCATAAGACTGACAGTAATAGTCAGCCTCATCCTCAGGATGGAGCCCAGTGATGGTCAGTGAAGCAGAGTTGCCAGAATTGGAGCCAGAGAAGCGATCAGAGACCTCTGAGTTTCGTTTGCTATATTCATAGATGGTGAGCTTAGGTGCTGTTTCTGGGAGTTGTTGGTACCAGTTCACATAATAGCCACCAATATTGTTGCTGCTTCCAGTGCAGGAGATGGTGATTGTCTGTCCTGGAGTCCCAGACAGTGAGGGCTGCTGTGTCAGCACAGACTGGGCCCAGGACCCTGTAAGTGGGAGAGAGACAGAGAGGGTGAGTTTTGTCTAGAAACAAGAATGGAATCAGGACCTATATCAGAGGACTCCCAGACCAAATTTCTTCTCCATATCTTGTCACCTGTGCAATGAACAATAAATGTGAAGAGAAGACAGGACCAGGCCATTGTGAAGGTCATCCTGAGCTCTGCCTTCTGTTCCTGATGCTGAGGAGAGTTTCCTCCAAGTCTCTCCCTTGCCCTCTTCATATTTTGAGAAGAGGAGGGTCTATCCATGCAAATTAGGTTCCTCTAGCTTTGCTTATTACACAGTGTGCCTGGTTCACACTCCTGTAAAAAAGTTGTCAAGTAGGTGTGCAGGGGTTGAATTGAGTTGGCTCAGGGGTGTGGGAGGTCACAGCTGTGAGCCCTAACAAGAGTGCATCAGGCAGGGCCAGGTGGCTCAGTACAGTTCTGGTCCCTTCCTGATCCCCCTTAACTAATCTGCAGTGCCCCCTGTTGTCCAAGCCCATACACACCATCATGTGACATTCTGATAAGAACCCCTGAGTCAGTCTTGTATCCCCATTGAATCTGTCTTTGTGGGGCCACACAATGAGCCCTTTGTGTGGCCTCCCCATAACCTCAGTGTGGTCATCTTGTTCTCCTCAGACTCCTCATGCAAATTCATGCATATTTCACTTGACACTTCCCTGTACATGACTAAGATGGTGTCTTTGATATAAATTCTTCTCAGATCAGGATTAAGCAGGTGAATATAAAGTGTCTGGTTTTATTAGCTTGAAGGAAACCATCTAGTTTCTCCACAGCATAAAAGCTTTGTTTCAGAGGTCTTTTCACCTTGGACTTGGCAAGGAACTCTGTTGGGAAATCTTATGGGTTGCCATTCAGAATATACTTGCGTGTATGTTTTCAAGTTTTCTCAGTTCACATGATTGTAATTCTTATTTCCAGAAAGTGACTGAGGGTTGTGACTATCAGCCAGACACAGCCATATAGCATTTCAGTGACCATTGGCTACATGGAATGCCACAGGGACTGGATACCCTGGAAGGACTCAGATTGCAGGACTCATGAATGTTTTCAGTCATGCATGAAAATGTCCTGTCTCCTATCTAGTGGCAAGGATGCAGGTGGTCTGGGCATAAATATCAGTCTTTTCTTTTTAATTACTTTATTTGTTTTAATTAGCTATACATGATAGTAGAATGCATTCATGCACTTTGATATATCATACATAGATGGGATATAATTTCTCATTTTTCTGAGTGTACATGTTGCAGAATCATATTGGTCCTGCAGAAACATATATACATACTGTAATAATGTCTGTCTCATTCTACTCTCTTTCCTATCACGTTGTCCCTTCCTCTCCTTTCCCATCACTTCTTTTTACCTAATCTAAGGTAATGCTATTCTTCCCTAGTGCCCATTATTGTAAATTAGCATCCACATATTAGAGAAAACATTTGGCCTTTGTTTTTATGGAATTTGTTTATTTTGCTTAGCATGATATTCTTCAACTCCAGCCATTTATTGTCAAATATCATATTTTCACTCTTCTTTAAAACTGAATAATATTCCATCGAGTACATATACCACACTTTCTTCATCTATTCATCTATTGAGGAAAACCTAGGTTGGTTCCATAGTCTAACTATTGTGAATTGAACTGTTATAAACATTGATATTTTTAGTATTTATTTGTTCAGTGTGATTCAGTGCATTTCCCAAGGGTCTGATGTTTTCACTTGAGAATTTTTTTTTTAATTTTTAAGGACACAATACCTTTATTTATTTATTTTTATGTGGTGCTTAGAATTGAACCAAGTGCCTCACACGTGCAAGACAGGCAGTCTACCACTAAACTGCAGCCAAAGCCCCACCACCTGAAAATTTTTAAATATTTTTATTTCCTTTTTTATTTTAGTTTATTCTTATTAGTTATAGATGACAGTAGAATGTATTTTGATATATTATACATATGTGGAGTATAACTTCCCATTTGATGGTTATACATAATGTTGAATTACATTTTGCATATTCATACATGCAAATTGGAAAATTATGTCCGTTCCATTCACTATCTTTCCTATTCTCAATCCCCCTACCTTTCTTTCATTACCCTCTTTCTTATACAAAGTAGTTCTATTCTTCCCTACACCCCTGCCCTTATTGTGAGTTAATATGACATTTCAGAAAGAACATTCCCCCTTCATTTTTTGGAGGGATTGTCTTATTTCACATAGCATAATAGTCTCCAGTTCCATCCATTTGACAAATACCATAATTTTCTTTCTCATTATGGCTAATACTCCATTTTGTGTACATACCCCATATTCTATATCCATTTATCTGTTTAAGGGCACCTAGGCTTTTTCCATAATTTAGATATTGTGAATTAAGCTGCTAAGAATATTAATGTGGCTGTGCCACTGTAATATGCTGTTTTTAAGTCTTTTGGGTATCAATCAAGGACTGGGATAACTGGGTCAAATTGTAGTTTCATTCCAAGTTTTCTGAGGGATCGCCATACTGCTTTCCAGAGCAGTTGCACCAATTTTTAGTTCCACCAGCAATGCATGAGTTTGCATTTGCCCCATATCCTCACTAACATTGATTGTTGCTTGTATTCTTGATAAATGCCATTGTGACTGGAGTGAGATAGAATCTCAGTGCAGATTTAATTTGAATTTTTCTAACTGCAAGAGATATTGAATATTTTTTTCATAATTGTAATAGTTCCAGATCCCAAGATAAGTAACAAGTGTTATTCTGGGGCCTAGAAACTTCCATACTAAGGGTTGTAACTTATCCCATGTTACATTGCTATTGTTCACCTCCAACATAATTCATAATTAAATATAGAAAATATTAAAAATCAAGCAATTGTGTTTGTTTCTATGTGAATAGAAATTGTGTACAATGTGAAATCCAATATTTTTCACATTTATGAAAGTGATAATAGAGAGGTTGAAATATATGTTATATTTTCTGATTAAAAGATTATTTAAAAATACATTATACATGGAATGCACACATTGTCAAGTCACTCAAATTTATAAAAAATTAATATATTAAATTCTAATCAGTTTTTCCTTTCTTCCTTCCTTCGTCCTTTCCTCTGTGAGGAATAGACAATTGTAGGTTCCCTTGAGATTTTCTATAGTTTTAATAAAAATGTATTTTTCAACCTTCACATGGTTCTCTCAACTGGAATGATGGTTAAATTCCTGCAGATATTTCCTTCCAAAGGACAAGCTTCAATTGCCCTTAAATTCAGAAAGAGCAAGATGAAAAGATCTTCTCTACTCCACTGCAGATCAGGAAGTTTAATTCTCCTCTTCTTCATGAGTATACCCAAATCAATCAGCACATACAGAGTTTACTTTTGATTATTCTTTTCTCTAATTTTATCTCCAAAGATGAACCCAGAATATTTGAATCAAGCAACAGAAAACAAATTATATACAATTGCCAAAGTTTCAGAAAGAAAATTGCCAATAGAAAATAAGCACATGATGGTGGAGCTGAAAACTGGTGCAACCACTTTGGAAAGCAGTATGAAGATTCTTTAGAAAACCTGGATGCAACCACCACTTAACACAGGTATCCCACTTCTTGGTATATATCCAAAGGACCCTAAATCAGCATACTATAGTGACATAGCCACATCCATATTTATAGTAGCTCAATTCACAATAGCCAAGCTATGAAACCTGTATTGGTACCTTTCAACAAATAAGTCAGTAAATATAGTGTGGTATATATACACAATAAAATATTACACAGCCATAAAAAGAAATTAAATTATGGCATTTACTGGTAAATGGATTGAACTGAAGACTATTGTGCTATGTGGAACAAGCCAGTCCCCCAAAATACAAAACGCCAAATATTCTCTCTGATATGTGGATGATAACCTGGAACAAATGAAAGTAGGAAGAAGTGTTGAAGTTCATTAGATAGACAAAGGGCAATAAAGGAAAAGGAGGTGAGTTGAGATTAGGAAACACAGTAGCATGAATCAGACTTATATTTCCTTAGTTCATACATACATAAATGACCAGTGTAACTCCACATCATGTTTAACCACAAGAATAGGATCAAAAGTGTAATGGGTTGCACCCCGTGTATGTATATGTCAAAATATATGCTATTGTCATGGATATCTGAAAACAACAAACATAAAAAGAAAGTAAGCACATGAATTAATACTAAATCTCATCTATTATTAGAATGTGCATATTAAAGTAGCAATAACATGAGCTACACATATATGGGATGGTTTAAATATTCCACAAACACATTGATGTGAAAATAAATGCATACCAAATATTCAGTATGAATCAAGGTCCCTGAAGGTGATCTGGAAATCAAAATGAATGATGACTTATGCTCAATTAACACGAGCTTACCCATTCACTTAGATCAATCTGTGGATTACTGCATAAAACCGTGCATGCACTCATTATTCATAAGAAGAATAAACCATGTAATGAGGATATTACCCTATGATTACAATGCCTTCCTTCATTAATTTAAACACAAATGCAGGATCTAAGGTTACTGAGTTGGAGGATTTTAAATGCAAACTATTCTTTTAACCAGGCTTGATATTATGACATAAGTAAAATAAAACAGTTTTATTGTTATGTTCTAAGGCTTTGGAATATTGAAATTAAGTTTAAAAATATTTTACACAGGGAAAGAAAACAAATTTTTAAAACTTCAATTAAACTGCTTCCACTTGGAGAAGAATGTCTGAATTCTCCTATTCACATAGGTACTTTAAATGTCCTATGATTAAGGAGTTAAAAAATGGCAAGTAAAAGACAAAATGAAACAAGACATTGCAGGTCGATTTGCAGAGAGATCAGGTATGTTTACATGCTTAACTCAATAATCCTCTTTGAAGAAAGTCCATTTATGGAATTTAGTGTCTAATTTGCAATTTCAAAATCTGAGGCTGATGGATAGACACTTGTCAATGATGAAATTTATTATATATACATAATTATGTGAAATTTGAAATTTGAATAAAATGTTATATATTAAGATATACTGATATTATGGATTACCATCTTGATGAGTTACAACTTCTGTGCTTTACTTACTTTACTGGTGATAATATACAATTTTATTATTTTCAGTATTAATATAATTTTTTGTGTTTTTTTTTTTTTTTTGGTTTTTGTTTTTACAGTTTCTAT